TTCCAGTTTACTTTTGAAATGCTATCATATATTTCGAAACTAACTTATGTTATTATTCCTTCGTAATGTGGTATAATGTTTCTTCCCCTTCATATAACCATATTTTGCATACAATTTAACACGAGAAATATTTCAAAGTTAAAATAATTTTAGTGAAACAAATTTTATCATTAAAACAATGATAATAGTTCTCAATCGGTTTTATTATGCTTTGATGTCATTATAGCTTGAGAAAATACCTTCCTTATTCAATGTATTCTTGTTAATTTATATAGTTTTATGACTGTACAATTATTGGAAATGTTACTTTTGATACATAAATTGAACATCAATTGTAACTCATCATTTTTATCTTCGACCATGTTTATACATGTATATGATCATTCAGTGAATGATTCATAGCCTTATCTTAATCGAAGCTGCACAAATTCAACTTTCTGATCATCACTGATACACTCAAAGGTACTAAATATGTTTGCAATTCCTGATTTTAATTCTGTAACACAGTTAACATTAAATTAGTTACTGAAATTAATCCAAACATCTTGGTTATATTTATTGTTTATAAAAGCGTTGGCGGAAATATGTTTACATAATGAACTTACACAAAATTCATAATTATAAATGAAACTATCACGAATTGAACTGACCGTCATCATGGACTGAGATTAGCGTGAATACTACAGAAAAGCAAGTCTATTATAGTGTGAAGCCAGTGATCCATATATCTAATTTCATCAATCACATTTGTCTCAATTACGATCTGCTAATTAGTGGCAAGTTGTGGAAGGTGAATATCTGAAGTTTTATTAGGAAATTGTGATTAGTGACGTTCAAAATTGGGACAGATACAACCAATGACGTTGAGAAACAATCGTGGTTTACCACTAATTGATTGGAGTTGCGAATATCGACTATTCCGTCCCAAGTCAATGTTCTTAAGGTTAAGTGTTCATCATGGGTTGAATCGTGTGGCGTCTTGAGTATACACTACTAAAGAGCCTCAGACTGTGACGAAACAAGCTGTCCAGTACATACTTTAAATTCAACTTCTCTGCGCAGACCATCGAACTAGATTAGTATTTTTAATCGTAAATATTTAAATTTTCTAGTACGTAATAGAGAATGTAACTGGTTGTTTTTGCTACAAAAAATAAATTATATAATCTGTTTTGTTCAGTTATCTCCATTTGCGGATTTTTAAAACACAAAAACATCGTATTTCATAGCTTTTTACCTGTAAATATCTACACCTTATACCAATACTCCGTTTATCATATAGATTACTTTGACTTGCTTCCTTCATTTTGTAGAGTGGAAGTGGAAATCAACCGAATACTTTACAATATCCAGATGATTCTCTCTCCCAAACTTACGAGCAGTCATCGAGCCGATTCAATAATATGTTTACTGACGACCTTCAAAGTAAAAACGATCCTCGTATGTACGGTTCTGTTATGAATGCTGATAATAAAAGAACAGGAATTAATCAAGGTACAGATTCAAATAGGTACTATGATCGAAAATCTGCACAACAATGGTCACAGAAATCTAGTGGGCGCAATAATTGGGGTAATGTTGATCATCAAAGAAATAAATGGAAATCTAGTGGTTCCACAGACTTCAACATACCAATTTTTCAAGAACTCACAACCGAATTGGGACACTTAACAACGGAAATGACGACAACAACAACTATGACGACGACGTTTTCTCCAACTACTGTTACAGCTTCCGCTGTGTTACTAACTAATGCCACGAGATTAGTTACAACATCAAGTGCATTAGAAAAACCAAGTGATTTATCATCACTGGAAGTGAAGGATATTGTTACAGAAAGTGTTACAAGACAAACACCTCTTTCTGTCCGGACAGATTCTGCATTAGATAGGCATCCACAAACTACAACACAACGTTACATAGACCCGACGTTGAAATCAGGCACATACACGGAATCACTTTTACCGTCAACTGACCAATCAAGCAATATTGGATTTTTGCCAGACGATGAGGACAATACTCAAGTGATCTCAAGACAAATGCCTTATCAAACACCTGGTTCTCAAAATATTAATTCTTGGCATCAAACCTCTGAGGTTTCTCAACGTTTTGGCGAAGTGAGTTTTTGAATGTTTAAATATTGAAGACAACACTTATACAGTTTATTCTTTTTCATTTCTTATGACAGATCATGAGACAGTAAAAGTGTATTCTGTGTACTTTAGCTTATAATATTTATCTATGTGGTGCATATGATTTCGATACAACTGTTCGTTCTGTTCCAGCATCTTTATCCTGGACTATTATAAATTGTCTGTAAAATATGAATAGGTTTCATAAGATCAGTATTTTAACTTGGCGACCGACCGAGTCGATTAAGGTCATGACATCTAATATTTCAGTAATGTAACAGCTAGTTATGTCCTCAGGGAAATAACATGAAAACACCTAATTATTTCATACCAGTTTCGCGGTACTGATATGATGTGGTAACCTGAAGCGATACATATATGTTCCAGGTTCTGAATGTTTTTCTATTGATCTATGATTACCAATAAACCCTTCACTTTGTAACAAGTTTGATATTACTAAGTTAAAATACGTTTTGTCTGTATGGTATAATGTATATTTTTAAAACTAGCCACGTTAAACATCTAATGTGGTATTCTTTTTATGTGTAACCATATATATATATATATATATATATATATATCGCTAACAAAATTTGGCAACTTTCCTTTGAATATTTTTTAATTCTTATTAGCGACTTGTGTGGTATACAGAATACACTTCAAAACTTTATTGTATAAAGCTTATTCGTAAACAACATGTCGCTTATTGAACAGTCTTTAAGTTTCATTTATTTTTGCACATTTAGTAGTCTTAAACTTAGAAGCTGGTTTTCGTGGAGTCTATCTACGTGTATGTGATTCAGCTCTCCACCTGGAAATCTGAATTATGTGATTATACAGTAAAATACTATAGATATTGTTCAACATGCTTCTTATGTACAATATAGTACGAACTATAATATTGTCTTCCCATTCTAATTAGTCAGAATCTGGATAGGAAAACTTATCTACCTAAATGTTGTGTAAATTTCACCAGCGCAATAAAAAATAATGTGAATGAATAGCTAGCAATCACAACAATCTGTTACCTCAAAATGTTAAACTAAGATGCTTCTCGAGGTTCTAGGTCTTTCGGTTAAAAGACAAGATTAAAGCAGTTGTGCTACCCTGCCGTATTTTACATTGCTAAGCTTATAGTTCAAAGTAGCGAATGATACTAAAAGTAAACGTAACCGCTCATAGATGCATCATAAATTAAACTAGTTACCAAGGATTTCACTGGTTCCGGAACATACGTTTATTAGATACAATATCACGTGACCTGATGCACTGCTTTATTTTATTTATAGGGCTCCGGAAATCGAGGCAGTGGTAAAGCACCATCAGTCCTTACACCACAATATCAAAGGTCCCGAAATTTATGGCCACAGTCTGGCAGAGAATCGGCAATCCCCAACGCCGCAGATACGCGTTACACTGAAGACTTTATTGGTCCCCAACCAGACAAAAATTTAGCTTTCTATCCAAGTACCCAAGAGCCAGAAAATCGAGGGGATGAAGAAGCTTGGAACGTTTCTCCCGATAAGTTAGCTTCAGGGTTTCTGGAAGCAGTTAGTGGAATGAGCCCCAACATAGAGTGGAATGAGGACAAAAACGATCACCACAGTAAGTGTCTTAAACCTGTTGTGATACACATAATTTGGGATGAACTTAGTATCTGTTAATTCTTCAAACTAACAAACTACTTTTGTTTTGTTTGCTCGTTATTATAGGAGCAGATAATTTTCATGTCCAGTTATTTATTATTTCCCACGTAGGGCCGAAGACTTAATTAACAATCATTTGGCATCCAACGAACAACAACTGAAACCTTAACCCGTATCGGAACTTGAGTTTCTTTAGACCAATTTCCAGGACGAAGTTGTCAAACAAACCTTTTCTCTGTTGTTCAGCAGTTTGTTGTGTGACTCAATTCGCACATTAATATAGAGAAAGTTCTTAACCACACATCAACATAAATTGGAAATCACAATGTGCGTATAATTACTCCATAAGTGAAAGATTTGTAATTTTTTAACATTAACTTAAGAAAGGCAATAATAATTTAAACCTTGAACGGAGAACATGAGCATGAAATAATCTGAATGCCTAATAATTAATTCAAAGCTCTCTCATGATGTATCCTGTTACAACAATATCAGTTTCCAATTTTTGTTAATCTGAACCGAGTTTTTTTTTCATTTCAGCAGGCTCGTCACAGTGGCAAGGTGCATCGGGAAGTAGTAGGAGTGGCAACACAGTTCCTGAGGAAACACCCATACTGCATCCCCCAACTCAGCCAACGCAACCACCTATTGCACCGCGGGTCGATAATATTCCGGAGATTCTTCCACAACCACCACTGCCACCCCCAGAAGTGTGGGTACCAGCAAAGTTAAGCCCTGGACAGCCGGTGCCACCCATATTGCTAATACGAGAATATAGTGTTGAAGGTCCCCTATACGAAAAGGAAGACACTGTCTCACAAACCTACAACTCAGCATCCCACCAACAGTTAATCACGTCTATATTTTTACCTCTAATCATTATATTTATCCTTTAAACCGAACAATGACTTTCTCAGTTACATTTTCTTGAAATGTACATAGGCACATTTGATAGCCTTTGCTCAAAATGTATTTACATGTATCTTGTTAACATTTTGAATTGCTTGTGTTCTCTTAATATTCATTTTTACTCCATCGATCTAAAGCTTTGCATTTATACAAGGTCACATGTTTAAAAATATATGATATCCTACACAGACCTAAACTCGCATTTACATTTTTTTCAGAGGATCTAAGCATTAAGTAAAGGTGACTTGGCGTAACAAAATCATTCTTTGCATTTGAAAAAAAAGAAAGACGTCATTAGTATAATATAATGAGGTTATATTTCGACGTTTGTTAAAGGGTCTTCTGATGCAACTGTGGAAGCTCCATTTATAGGGACCCACGGTTTATTTGAATCCAGAACACAACGAAAGATCAGTGGACCAAGTCCAAACCAACTTAGGGAGTTAGGACAGTGAAGCCTTAAGCGGTGCACAGCAATCTGACCTTCAAAGTATGTTGCAGGTTCTTGCTCAGGTGTTGTGGACCTAGCTCGAATTTCTTCAGATGTAATTTGCGCATCCACAAAAGCTGGGCGAACGTACGGGAAAGGATCTATGGTCAGGTAACACCTTTCTGGGTTGAATACGTTAGTTATTTCATCTGAACCTACACAGTTTAGGCGTAAAAGTCTTAACGCAGGAACAGGTCCACGTGCTTTCCAACTTATACGAGCAGGATTTATTTGGTTGGTTTTGATATTGAAGATAACACCCAAAATAGCAGGTTGTGATTTTCCACCACTAGAGCTAAGGATGTTATTTTCACCGACACAGCATACCCCAAGTTCATAATTGTGATCACTAGATATTAGTGATGAAAGTATTTCAACTAGTACAGAATGTGAAATGTTTCGTGGATCTGGAAAACCCCCGACTATGTGGACTGTGACATTATCACTTTCTTTCGAAAAGAAACGTTCGGAATTTCTGAAAAATGACCTGGCGCGCAATGGAGTATCCAGATGTCCTATCGAACAACCAACCGAACAACGTAAGACGACAATGTAACAGGACGTTGCATCATCAGAAGTTGTGTATTCTGGAATGATATTGTTTGCAGGTACATTGGTGACCAGTAATGGTATAGTGGCCATTTCACCTTGATGGACGTAAACTGAGGAAAGACAATCCTTAACGTCCATTAACTCCCTTTTTTTGAAATCATCCGCGATACTCTTAATGAATGAACTTGTCGAGAACAATTGAGCAAATACGTATATGCACGACTTTTCGCAATTATATCTCTTCCCATCGAAATTAAGCACCATTCACTCTTCAAGCAACCTAAAACTAATGTTGAATAGGACATCAGTAATAATCCAAAGCAATAAAACCATAGAATTATGAATTGTTAGCAATTTTGTTGTATTTCAACAGTGTACAAACTAGCGAGCAAAATGTTATGAAAATAAGGCCGTTTCTGAGAGAACATTTGGGGAATTTATACACCATGTACAAGATTAATAATAAACCCTCAGTTATTTACATCTGAAAGTATTAAGTATGTAAAAGTTTTATACAAAATAAATTAAGTAGATCATAATATACAGATCGATTTGATCAGGACCACCCATTTAACTGAATATGGTTTATTTTAGCGGCCACCTGATTCGATTTTTGCAAAATAACACGATCTTTCGAATCCTCACTTTGCAGCAACCATGTTCGCCAGTCGCTTAGTAAAAAATATAGACATGATCTTCTGAATCTCAAAGCTTCTGACATCAACATCGAAACCACAGCTTCTCTTTGTCCAATTGAACCAGTGAGTTCATTCATGCGGTCAAATAACAGCACTGCATCTACTAAGTGGAAAAGATTAACGGTTAGATAATGTAAACGAAAGAACTAAAAGTCCTTGTACATACAAACCTACCTGTATAAGGCTGTCGAACCAAATGAATTAATTCGAACATAATTTTCTTGTTTAATTTAAAACTTTCCAATGACGATGCATTTCTAGTATCAAAAGTATTTGTTTTTTCAATAATTGCTTGGTTGGTGAATCTTGAGTGGTTTATTAAGGAAGGGGAATTGTCGGCATATGTGGGAGATGAAATCGCGCTTGATATTTCTTCACTGAAAGTATTATCCGAAGATCTAGGCGATGACAGCGGTGAAGATTTCGGCGAGAAAAAACGCCAATTTAGGTGATTAATATACGGAGGTAAGGGACCTAAAAAAAAGTTGACTGGCTGAATTCTATCTTACCTTTGACTCTTGCTTGAGGATTTTTGGTGGTTTGTGCAGACTTTTTTCGCCCAAAATTGAGCAAAACTGTATTCGGATTACAAGAATTAACTTGCAATGAATCCATCTCATCAACGAAACCTTCATCTGCGACGAAGGATGTAGACTTCCGTCGGAAAGGGTTTCCGAATGTATCCGATCGTTCAGGAGTTGGATTTATCTCCCTCAAAGGTGTTTCGACCTGCCGGGAATTTCTGTAGTTAACATAATCACCCATTAAGGCGACTGGTTGTTGATGAATCAAGTCAACTGCTCGGATGCTAGATGAACCATTTAGGAGGTTATCAAGTTCATGCCTCATTTTTCCCAAAACTACGCGCAACTTGGTTCGAGATATATTACAAGGTCGAAGAGAATTTGAATGAAGACGCTTAGGTTTGATATACATCGATTTAAATTCACGTAGCGGCCACAAAGGTAAAGGCAATAAGGCTGATGGTAACTAAAACAAAACAAATAACTAAGGTATTTACTTACAGTAACAGTTGGGTTTGTGGGGCTGTCAGTTTGCGTCATACGCACGAAGTTATCGTATTCAATTTTAGCTGAATGCCGAAGCTTTTGCAAAGAATGTTTCAATTGATAAGGAAGTGCACGGTCAATAGCTTCAGGCTTAATCATCCCGACAAACCCTATTCGTTCAAACGCCTTCGCTAGGGGCTTTAAAAATTAGTAAAATCACAGGAAAAATACCATAAAGTAATATTTCGGTATGGTTCCTAGATAGTTCACAAACTGATGACCCCAGGCTTCCGTCATACGTTTATGATCACATATATCACCTTAAAATTTCATAACATATGCTGTGACTTACCAAGTAACTGAAGAAATACAGGATAATTGTAAGGAAGTATATGCAGATGTACTGACTGGAGATCACTTGATACTTTTAAATAACCAAACGGTGCATTCTGATTCTTTTTGATACCATAGCTGAAACACCGCCAAACCATATTTTGCTCCGACGAATTTAGAAACTCTTTCGTAAAATGTGATGGAGTCAACTCGTAACGGTCGACGGGGAAATACTCGGGCAACTCAGGTTCCACCACAGGAACTTTAGATACAAGGACTTCAGGATGTGCACTTCTAGGTGGCTTCAATGGAAATATAAAAATACTCTCGACATACCAACTCTGATGCTAGCATCTCATCATCAGGCCAAAATTGTTCTGGGATAGGCCAAGACGATGACCTTCCCATTAGCTTAACTGACATCAACTGCTTTACGAATTTCTCTTGGAGAGCCGCATCAACGCAGTCAGTAGACCTTCGTAATTTTAAAACCACGCCAGGTTGGCATTTTGTGACAAGAGAGTCAAGACATTGGTGGAGTTCCCGACCGTCGTAAACATCAAAACTTTCACCGCCAGTTTCTTCCGCAAGTCTTTTAAGCGGCGAGATTGTTTCTGATCTTATGGAGCTACCGCCATGAATATTACTGACAAATGCGGGAAAACGAAGTACCAGAGAATACATGCGGTAATCCCAACGGAAAGTCTCTTTTGTCAAAACATTCCCAAGAACGGCAGATTCTATGGAAGTTATAGATGCATCCTTTTTAGCATAATTAAAGAAATATGTCAAACTTACATTGAAAATTTGGCCATCAAAACTGTATGAGCCTATGCTAGTAGTAATACATATTATTACAGAGGGTTCAATACATGATGGATAAATCCCCTTAAAAAATATCAACTGATAAATGTTAAATACCATCCCATAATTTTCCAGTCCGAGTTGCAATCTATTTATATTTAACATCCGGAATGTTCTTTGAATACCAGTTGACAAATCAACCAAACCGTCTGGTTTAATATTATTTAAGGCAGAATGAAGTAACTGAAGATCAACATTCTGTTTCCAACCGGTAAGCTACAACAATTAAGAAGATTGTGATGACATACTTTGACATAACTTATGTCAGAATTCAAAGTAAGCACAAAATAACGATCTACTCTTGATTTGCTCATCCTTATCTACCAGTTAATGTTATTAAGATTATTCCATAAACAAACTTTGAAAAAAATCTCTATCGCAGATTTTGCTACGTCTAGTAACGTAGTGCCTTGAAAAGTGCGCTGGTTCATTGCTGCGCTGTTGTCAAGCAGAAAAACAATAACTGTCATCGCTAGCTACTCAAGGTCATACGGACAAGCCAGCCAATCACAAAGCCACAACCACAATGCATACAGTGAAGCGCAGCACTCCTAATGCCATGATTGCCTGACACTGCATTATATATTATATCGAGCTGAGAATATTGCGTCCTGATTGGTCAAAATTTACAGCAGAGGCTCATATGGATACATTTGTTAAACACGCTGTTTTATTAGCATAAGGTCTAATTTTCCTTAAATTATGGAATTTAATAGCAATAGATAATATGCGGAAACAATAGCTTTCGTCAGTAATACATATTTTTAGTTCTAATTTAATCAACAATGTATTCGGCAATTATTTTTACTCTTTATGAGCCTCCAACAATCATTTATCTATAGATGTGGGCCGTATGACTGAATATATTCATCTTTTACTAAAAAGACGAAGTGTAATAATTCGTGTTCTATAGTCGTTATTTTGATTTACATCTCTAATTCTCATCCATTACAGTATGTTGACCTAGAATTATTTGGCATTATGGAAACATCAGTTTACTTGTACCGTAAGAACAGCTACCATGGTAATATCAGCTCAAAGAAAGAAAGTTGATTTTTTTAATTTTCGATGGGTTTCAGAATTTGAGCATTAACGTTCATATTGATATTGGAGTTTTAATAGTAACATTTTCTTACTTTTAAACGTGTCTGCATTTGAAATAAGAGGAATCTTATCACGTTTCTTTTTCTGCATATAAGTGACAGTGGAGATTATATCTCTATTACGATGTATTGGTAAGTTATTTTCATTCATTGAATAATACCTGAAATCTTAAATTAATATGACCATGAATTTAAGCAAGCACTTTTCTCTGAGAGAATCCGAAAGTAGCCCTGTGATGAAGAATTCAAATATCGTTAGCCATACGTAGCTACTTATAAGTAGTAGGAATGCTATTTGAAAAATCAACAACCTGGCGTTTCCAGTCATTTGTTTTCATTGGTTGTCTACAGTCGTCCGTTTTTGGTAAGCATCTTTTGATTTTCATTGTTGAGTGTACAGACTTCCTTATTTGATATACCAGGCTGACCTACGATAAGGGAATGATTAAAAGTAGACTGAGTTTTATCTCACGACAGTGATGTTTAATCTATACGTGCGTTTGTCAAAGTGTGAGTGAACACCTTCATAGAAAATGGACTCCAAGCATGTGGAGAACTTTAAATTCAAATTCACTTTATCTGAATTAAACAACCATTACATAAACCTGACTATGAATCATGGATTTTGAATTATTATATTAATCGATTTTATCTGTGGTAGTCTTTAAAATGTTTATAAGCCTTATAAGATACCTATATCTCCATATAAATCACATCACTTGTCTGAAAATTAAAGCTAAATAAACGAGAAGTGTTTAATCATTGATTCAAATATCATAAGTGTTTGAAATATGCGTACCTTTTTTTCTATATTCTATCCAAGTTCTTTATTATTCATTACACTAATTTTCCAATATAAGCAATCACATGAAAAAAAATTTCATCTATTTAAAAATGAATATCCTCTGTAAATTGATAGTTTCAAAAATAGATTTTGATTATCATAAATTATCAATGAAGTAAATAAAAATAAAATTACAAGAAGTTATCACATCAGATCACTACAGTCAAAGTGAATAATAAACATTGTAAGATCATTAACCACTTATCAAAAACACTGAATGATGATTAGATTACTCTGTAGACATTTAACACTATTATGATAGTCTCTACTTACTCTTGTCATTCCATGTTAGAGAGATGTAATGGTTGCAGAAAATGATATTTCGAGACCCTGTGTAGACAAACGATCAAGAAACTGCATAAAATCAATTTTACATAACAAATTTTCAGTTAATCGTATTCTTCCCACATGGTTAGGTTTCAGGTATATTATCACAGTTATCTTCTAAGTCGCTCTTAAATATAGTGGAACAATGAAGCAATCCCGAGGTTATATTTAAGATGATGTCTTTATTAACTAGCTGTAATATGTTACGTATGCCCGATAACTATTTATCTCCACGTACAATATTGGTTCGAGTAAAAGTAAATTAGCCCCCAAACGAAAACATGGCATGAGTCCATGAAATCTTTAGCTTCCGGACTGTGTTGCGTTAGAAGATGCATAGGATTCGGTTGGGGTTCACATGAAAACCGCGATCAGTGTTGGAAAACTTTAAGTGACATGAATAAGAATCGGTCACAATAACTCAGATATATCCACTATTTTCAACCACTACGTTTTTAAATTTAATTGGCGTTGTTTGCTTGTATCTTCCCATTGTTGTTTAGGACTACAGTTGATCAGTCTCTTGTTGGTATATGTGCATCCTGTGCGGATTGCCTCGATATTGCCTTAAGTCACAAACTTTATAAGCAAAGATGAACATTGGCTAGCAGTGGAATCCAGGACGCTGGTTATGCCTGCGTCCCAGAGTTGATGTTCACTCCAGGACTCAAACACAGCACACTCCATTGCACAAGCAAGTGGCTATCAGGACTCAGTAGCTAAGTGGATAACGCGGTGGTGTTTGAAGAGAATGGTATCGGATCCGAGTCCCGGATTGAATATCAACTCCGGGATGCAGGCACATCCAGCTGACGAGTCCCAAATAGGACGAAACGAGCGTCCTGGATTGCATTGCTAGCCGCTATTCATCTTTGCTTATGAAACACTACGTTTTTAGTTTCAACTCTGTCTAATAAATACCTTCTTTTCATTCTATCTTTTCGAAACATATTTCCGATGTTTAGTCTTTCTAACTATCATTTATTTTACTAACAATTCAACCTATTTTTACTAATCTTGTTAATTTCATCTCTCTGTGCTGATGTGATATGGAAAAGTATGTTAACGCTAATCTTCCCAGACTCTACACCGGCTATTACTTGAATAGACAATAGCTATAAGTGATGGAAAATCCTTCCCTGTTAAGAATAATAATATGCTAGTGAATATGTATTCTGTCGTATTGTCATTGTTATCCTACCTCTATAAATTACATTGTCAACCTTTTTGATTAATGTGCTTTGAAACTCTTCCGGCAATTCACCTCTGTATACATTCAGAAATTTGCATTGCGACGATAAGTATATTTTTTGAGAAACAGCTGTTTGTTATGAAGAGAAAATTCGTGAAAATACAAATAAAAAGTACCTATTGAGGAAAGCTATTTTTCTATCGAGTGTGAAAATTATTAGCATTGATGTTTCTTTTGATGCTTCTTTTGATCATATTTATCATCTAACTTCTTGTTTACTTGTTTATACTTATATGCTTTCAGTAATTAAAAGATACAGGACACATTTTATTCAAACTTTAGGTTAGACATGAACACCGTTGGATCAATCAGTTCATGATCTCATTTACAAACGTAATGATCTCCACAAACCCATACTGATAATTAATTTTACATTCAACGAGACCTCAACATGTTCTGTAAGTGTTCAGATATCAAATTTATACACATTAGAATACCAATTTATAATGTTTAGTCCTTATTCAAAGACAGTTGCTTATTCTCGGAACTTCGACTTTCCGTTGGAACTGTTCAGTTCTTTCTGTTTAATGTGTTCGATATTCAAAGGAAGGAAGACGATAGATTTCCATTTCCTATCACTAGGTTAAAATTTCATAATGGATACTTTTTAATTTGCCTTCTAATACCCTTCTGAATACTTAATTTATAAATAGAATTGATTTAGTAAATATTACTTACTTTTTCATTGAAAAACCTAATAGCTAGTTTCAGTGGATGACAGTAAATATACGTTATGACAGAATTTTGGTAATAGGATTCCAATGTAGTAACCTCATTGTAATTAGTTTCTGTTGCTCCATATCTCATGAGTGACTACTTCTGAAAATATCTTAAACAAGATGGTACAACTAACCATTTTTAAAAACTTAAAATTAATTATTCTTGTTTTATTTTCATCTTGTTACATGTTTGATTAATAAATGGTGTTTTCAAACAGGTATGAACATGATCTCTAGCGTCTCTGAAAAATCATATTACAGTAATATCTTATGGATAATGTAGAAAATTATATGGATCTTATGTTTGGGTTTATCTGAACCTGTCTGATCTCAACACATCCATTATAGTGCAACCAAGCATCAACATTCTTCATGTAGTCAACTTTTTGAAGAGTACGTTTTTATGAATTACCTCAAACCAATATTAGCTAATAGTCGGTTGTTGTAATTCAAACTTTTTATTGTTAATTTTTGTAACAGCTAACAAAGTTGTTATGTTTAATTGTAAAAAATGAATTTCAGCACTTTAAACGTATTATTTAAACGTATTCTAAATAAAGAGAAGGCTATTTGTTTTATAATCATTTTCACAGTGTTCTATTTTCAATACTTTTAACTATAAAGCATTCATTGTTTGTTCAAGTAACACTACCAGCATAAATTTAAACAAATTCACTAGTTAGATATTCTTTTAATATATTAGGATGATTTATAATGATACTATGTAATTTATATGTGCTGATAAAGTACATCTTATGTATAAAAGAGAACATTTTCACTAAGATAATGAAATCTGTCCAAGTAACTCTCTTAAGTATCATCGTCAGCATTTTGGATCATAGTGAGTCTTGAAACCTTATATGTATGTCTCGTCCCATTTGCGTCTCATCGGTTGAGTGTACCCGTTTCCCACTGTTCATTTTCACGCTACTTTGAATATAGCACTTCATTTACCTCCAGTCTACATGTTTATTTATAAACATTATACACAAAGGAGAAACGAAATAATTCAACTGATAATGACAAAACAATATGACATTAAATGAATGAAAAACGATCATTTTTAACAGTGAAACAGATAACCTGTACTTACGTGCGTCTGTTGCCCCACGTGGAAAAGCATAGAGCGTCTACTGCCATTCTCCATCCAAATCTGTTCTGGACTCGCCTTCCTACTTGCTTCCTGTTGCTATTCATCCTTTACATGTCTACTTCCAATTACCGA